TGCTGTAAATTTACCTCACTGCAGGTAACCATTACTTCTCAAGGTCTTGAGAATAGGAAGAGCTGTAGAACAACGCAGCTGTTTGACACTCCCCCCTCCCCAGATCCAAACTTTCTTTCTCAGAAAACCGCTAACCCCTTTCACGAACGCCGTGTTCCATTTTTTATGACATTTTTAATTTCAAGACTTGGGGGCGGGGGGAGAAACGGGACTGAAGTAATTCATGTGAAAAGCCAAACAAAGCCATCAACACTCCAGAAGGCCAGTTTTCTGTGAGTCAGTGGGGCAGGTCAGGTTAAGTGCTTTGAGGTTGGGAGCACTGAATGGAACCCAGTGGATTTCTACATTATTGCTATGATGGTTGGTCAGCCAAAGGTTTAGTCTTTATTTGGCGTTTTTATTCACCTATTAAATCCACTGTGTGTTTCTGTAGGAGTGGTGGCCTAGAGGTGGAGCTCTCAACTCGCAATCGGGAGGCTGTGAGTTTGATCCTAGGTAGAGGCAGATATTTTCTCTCTCTGGGCACAATGAGAATATATCTGCTGAACAAAACTCCGCATTGGCAACAGGAAGAGCATCCGGCCATTAAAACACTCTGCTACCTCCATTCAGTTGCTCAGACTCCACCCCACAATAGATTATGGGGTAGTTAAAAGATGATGATGATTTGCGTGTTTGTGTATTTGACGTGTGTGTCAACTCAAGGCAATGAACATACATAATGCTCCTTCCTCCTCCTGTTCCCCTCCCCATAACAACAACCAGTTGAGGTGGGTTGGGTTGAGAGAGAGTGACTGGTCTAAGGTCACCCAGCTAACTTTCATGCCTAAGGCAGGACAGGAGCTCACCGTCTCCTGGTTTTTAGACCAGCAACTTCACCGCTACACCAGCAATATTTTGAAGATGTATTGATGGAGAAGGCAGGTTTTTTTTCTTCAACCTTGTTTTCTTTAAGAATTCCATCATCCTCAGCCAATATGATCCAAAGTCAGCAATTATAAAAATGTAATTAGACATCTGGAGGGCAGGATGTGATGACAATAATTGTAATCAAAGCCTCTGAAGTCAAATGTAATTAGCTAATTAATATTTACAATACAGTACATAATTTGTATTTTCGATTCCACAAGTTTTGGCTGGCTTTCAACAATGTATAAATTAAACTAATTAAAAATGGCATTCTAAAAAAAACAAACCCCACCCAATATTTTACTTTCTTTGGGTTTTAGAATCCAAAGTTCCTTTCACCCAACAGTCAGATTACAGGAAACTCAGACATCCAACTAAGGAAATGATGGATTTCATCTGGATCCCCATATATTTGCAGATTCTTTCTCTTCCTTGTTGTGCATTTTTCTTTATGTATTTAAGAGTGGTTATCACTTACTAGCTGATGAAAAGGAAAATGAATTCATTAGGTACCAGAAGTCCTTAGCCTAGGACCACAATCGAGACCAGAATTTCTAATACTAAGCAGGGTGGTTGTTAAGAGTGCCCGATCATATTTTGCACCGGTTTTTAAGAGAATCACTGCAGTTGTTCAATTAATTTGGCTTCCCCTGCTGACTTCGCTTGTCAAACGTTGGTTGGGAAAATCATAGTAGATATCACATGTTCCCAGTACCATCATAATGACAGGTCTTTTGATGAGCAGCTGAATGTTGATCATGTGACCTTGTGGTTGCTGCAAACGGACATAAGTAGAAGAATTGATTGTAAGTCATTTTTTTCAGTATCGTAACTTTGAACGGTCACTAAATGAATGAGGGAGGGAGCAGTCCTTTTCTCTGACTAATTGTCACCACACTCAATTCATTTGTAAGGTTCCTAACTTTACACGAGGACACATTTAGAATTCTCTTTACATGAGAATTTGTGTCTATGGAGATTCTCAGTCATCCAGGTTATGGTTGTTCCAAAGGTGCTTTTTTTTTCAAGAGGCAACTGGACTTTCTGGTTTGTCTTTGAAGATGTTTCGGTTCTCATCCAAGAAGCTTCTTCAGCTCAGACTGGATGATGGGGAATGGAAGAATCTATACTTCTTGCAAGCAGCTGGTCATTTGCATTCTTTTAGAGAGTAGTTGAGGCCACCTGGAGGTTTGCCTATGTCATCAGAGGTCATTTATGTCAAAATTGAACAGCTCTCTCTTAGCAGAGGGGGTAGGGATGCAACATCATTCATCTCCAGTCTACAATACAGTCCTTTCAACCGTTCCAAGAAGGCTCCACGCCTGTTTACACCACTCATTAGACCCTGATGACACAGATAAACCTCCAGGTGGCCTCAACGGCTCTCTAAAAGGATGTCAATGACCAGCTGTCTGAAAGGAATATAAATCCTTCCATTTCCCCACCATCCAGTCAGAGCTGAAGAAGCTTCTTGGATGAGAAGCGAAACATCTTCAAGGAAAAACCAGAAAGTCCAGTTGCCTCTTGAAGAAGCACCTTTGGGATCTTCAATTGGTGTACTTTTCCCACATGAGTTTAATGGAGAGCATGGAGAGAGCATTGTCTCATCATCTAGTTCAGGGGTCTTCAAAACTTGCCAAGTTTGAAGACCCTCGATCTAATTAAATGCTATAAAAAAATCCTTTCGTTTCACTTTAGTGTCCATTTCTGTTGTAGATTAGACTGGTTTTGCTTTACTTCTGAAACCGTTTTCCCCTCGGCTTCTTTTTCACATCTGATAGTTATTTATAGGAAACAGCGCCTCTGGGATTTTCCAGATAGAAGATGAGTCTGAGCAGAAAATGCTTTGGACAGGGAAAATGTTTCTGCTTGGGATTTTATAAAATGTAATGTAAATGTTGAGGTTGATTTAAACAATAGACTAACCTCATATACAGTTTAACTTTAAGTGTTAAGACTTCAAAACAAAAGATCAGACAAGCATTGTCGTCTGTTTTACAAAATTGGACACAATTGTCATTGTCACAAGTAACAGGTTTGGTAGATGTGAAGGTAGCTTCACTGCAAAATTGCTTTAAATAAATGATCTGGAACTGTTATTTGTAAAATCTTGCTTAATTTGGCAGTCTTCCATATGAATAATACCAAGAAAAGTACACGGATAGACATGAACTTACCTTGAAGATTTATTATACAAATACATTGGATGTTTACTAATATTTTTATTGTTGTCTAGAAGTAAACTTTCTGTCCATTGCCAAGTATCCAAAAGGCAAAAAGAATTAAATTATATTCAGTGAAGCCAGAGGCTCCCTCCTCAAAATGGTGATACAATCTGGCAGTTAATGTATTAATACAGCACAAGTTTGTATTAATACAATTTGTAAAGCTTTTAAGGACAAAGGGTAGCATTGGAGCTCCAACTTTTCCAGGTCTCAGTGCTTTCTCAATAGGGGTGCAGAGAAAGGGTCAATCCGGTTCTTTCCTTAAGAATTAAATCAATTCAGCTTTTGTCCCATTGGCAAATAATGGAGGTGATGATTGCAAGTGGACTTTGTTCCAGTATATTGTGACTTTTTTAATCTCTGTGAATTCATATTTGACCAGCCAGAGAAAGAAACTACCTGAAATGAATCTAAGCTAAAACTTTTAATTAACTAAATCTCTCTATGGACATACCCAGGTTTGCACTGATTGAAACCTGATTCAATTAGGATACTTTCATATCTGTATGCAGAGGTGGGCTGCTGTCAACTTTGGAAATCTCATTCAACGCTGCCACATAGCTTAAGAAAGTAGGAGGGGGGTGATTCCTTTTGAGTAGCTCTAAGTAGACAAAATAGAATTCTTTTGTTAGTTCAAGGTCATGAAGTGTGGCGCAGGGGAACAAAAAGGATCTTTGGGATTGGTTCATGTGATGTGATGATGGGGGGAAAGGGGATGCGTTGTAGGTTGGGACGTTGTGGAAAGTTCCGAGGAATTTAGTTCCGAGATTCCACAGATGTGCCAGGTGCTATTCTAATAAAGGTACTTTTGAGATGACGCTTGTCTCGGAGTTACTGATTGGAATGGAGGTTTGCTGGAACGCTGACAGGTTGTCCTTACATTAACAACCGGTTCACTAGTTATATATGGAAAGGATAGCGTAGGGGCGGGTGGACGTGCCCAGCCAGTGATCACAACTACCAGTTCTCCTGAACCAGTGTGACCAGGCAGTGTGTCTGTATACCCTCTGGAATATCCTGACTCCCCCTCAGGGTGTAATTTGCCCCTACCCTCCTATCCTTCTGCAAAAGCCTAAAGCTCTGCCAGTTGGCCTGGGGCCCAACAGTGGAGCTTTTCACTGGAGATGGTTGCTTAGACTAACTTGCTGACCCACACCTCCCCACTGAACTTCCACCTCCCTCTCCACCCATCTTTTTTATTTCATATTATTGTACTTCCTTTGTTTATTTTTTATTGTTTTAGTCCTTTGCTATTGTTACATGTACAAGTTTAATCCGTTTTATTGTTGTAAACCTCCCAAGATTAGCCACAGTGAGACGGTTGACAAATTTTAACAAACAAATCTGTCTCCTGCTTTGTGGCTGTAACCTTTCATTGGGCCGAAACAGTGCACTATAGGGCAACCGTTTTTGAACCAAGGTATCTGAAATGGACTAACATACAGAATGCATCCAAAAGGTTATCAGCAATAATCAAGCCAGCAGGAAGTCAAAAGTTGCTCTTACTCCCAAGTTTAAACTTGTATGTTTAAGCTCTCTATAAGAATCTGAACTATTAACAGCCAAAGCAAACTGGCGGTAGATAAGAATTAATGGAAGTCAAAGTGGGCTGGACTTAGATCTCTTGTGGGTGGGAAGGAACTCAAGACTGATAATTCATTTGACCCCACCCTTGGGCTCAGCCTGATCATCTCCTATACAACATCTCCTTAATGTTGAAATTCTGCATTTGATGATATGTTTATCATGTTACACAGGTAATTAGATACTTACATGTTTGGGTAAAGCGTTTGAAGCTATCTGAACAACGTAGAAACGAATAGCACCATGGCAGAAATAAATAGATTTTAACTATTCCATTTTTAGACGCTGGAAGCCATCTTGAATTTCAGATACTCAGGAGGCCCTGGACATATTGATGGATATTATAGGAACTTGTCCCTGGGACTTCATGTGGAAGTTGAGCCATCTGTGTTCTTCACACGTGTCAGTACCTTGCCTGCAACAAGGTAAGTTGTGGTAATTGAGAAAAAAATATTTCTTCATTTAAGGTGAATAATGGTATAACCAACTCCTGTTTAGGTTCTAGTTGTTCATAACAGCTCCTCATCACAATTGTGCCATGTGCAGAATATTCCCTGCTGTATTATTGGTGCAGTTCTGGTACATTTGACCAGGATGCCACAAGTATTTGTGTAGAGGATAAGATGAAATTTGCTTTGGGATCAAATGAATGTATGTAATTCATTAATAATTAATAATAAAGGAAAGTCAGAAAACCTAATCTGCTCTCAACGTATCATAGTTGTAGCAGCCTTTCCCCCTTTATAGGTAAATTATTTGGGAAAAATATTTTCTTTTAGATAATCAGAGTCTCATTCAATGATGAAATTGTGCGATAGAATTGAATTGAATTGAATTCTTTACTGGCCAACTGTGATTGGACACACAAGGAATTTGTCTTTGGTGTATAAGCTCTCAGTGTGCATAAGAAAAAATAAAATGCATTCATCAAGAATCATAAGATACAACACTTAGTGATAGTCATAGGTTACTATAAGCAATCAAATCATACATAGGTTACTAATATGCAATCAAAACATACTAAGAAAACAAATAAAGCAATATAAATTTCGACACACGACAACGAAAAGGTTAGGCATCACTGAGATAGGTAATAGGAAGGATGAGAAGAATAATAGTAATATAGTCTTACTAAGTAATTTGACAGTGTTGTGGAAGTTAGTTGTTTCGCAGAGTGATGGCATTCGGGGAAAAAACTGTCCTTGTGTTTAGTTGTTCTGGTGTGCGTCCTATGGCGTCATTTTGAAGGTAGACGTTGAAACGATTTATGTCCAGGATGTGAGGGCTCTATAGATATTTTCACAGCCCACTTTTTGACTCGTGCAGTATACAGGTCCTCCATGGAAGGCAGGTTGGTAGTAACTATTTTTTTCTGCAGTCCTAATTACTCTCTGAAGTCTGTGTCCTGTTGGGTTGCAGAACCAAACCAGACCGTTATAGAGGTGCAGATGACAGACTCAATAATTCCTCTGTAGAACTGAATCAGGTGTTTGAGTTTTCTGAATTGGTGCAGGAAAAACATTCTTTGCTGTGCTTTTTGATGACGTTTTTTTATATTAGGTGTCCATTTTAAGTCCTGAGATATGATAGACCTTAGAAACTTGAAGGTCTCTACTGTTGATACTCTGTTGTCTAGTATTGTAAAAGGTGGTAGTATAAGAACTCTGTATTTTGTAGGTTGCATATGCGTTGTGTCATGCCCCCGTTGGAGTCTGAATGGGAGGGGGATGAACTGGAAAAAGAGGTTGACAGAGGTTGAGAGGGCGGCTCTGTTGGCTTTGGAGAAAACTGGGGAAGGGCAGAGTCAGTCTGGGCAGGGTTTTTCAGGATTAGAAAGGCTTGCAGACAGGGAGGAGTAGAGCTCAGGCGAAGAGCAAGGGCCACCCCCTCCTGATCTTAGGGCACGGAGAGAAGAGAGAAGGAGAGAACAACGCAGACTGCGCCAGCTACCAGGGAGGAGAGGGCCCTGCCCCACTTCACAAGGCATACCTGGGGACTGAGATGTAGGAAGTGCCGGTGGGAAGGAGAATTTGTTGGGAATGGAGTCTTGTATGCACTTGCTGATGCCTAGAGATTACTGTGCTCTGTACTTCTTGCTCTGGTTACTATTTGGCTAACCTGGATTACTTAAGACTGCTGGCCCTGGTTATTGTTCGGCTAACCTGGCTTACTGGACTACTTGCAGCCAGAGGCTGTTGAAGATGTGTGTGAGAGCTTTGCTCCAGGACTTGTAGTAAACACGGGGATGTTTGGGGGCAAAGTTGGAGCAACAAAGGGGTGTTAGACCTGTTCACTGGCTGTGTTGCTTTTGTGCCACGCCCCGGGTCATCACAGATTGTATGAAAGTGTACAGTATGTTTAATAATAATTGTTGCTACCATATGTTTGATGGGATATTTATTTTAATTTTCCAAATAGTACTCGCCAATGCCATTTGCTCCTTGATGTATTCAACTCAACGGAACATGAACTCATGATCAGCGCAAAGAACAATGAAGATTTAGTGTTGCATGCTGGAGAATGCCAGCGGTAAGTTCAGGCTTTCTTTTTTCATTGGGTTCTCCTCTTTTACAAGATACATCCGTTTATAGTATGTCTATCCAGCCTTATACGGAAGAAGGTATTTTAATTTGAAAAGTTCATTTTGTTGAATTGATTTTTGTAAGAGTAAGATTTTTGCATTTCCCCGCCATATGACAATATATGGAGGAGGACTTGAGAGAAAAACAAGAAAGAAAGAAAGAAAGAAAGAAAGAAAGAAAGGAAGGAAGGAAGGAAGGAAGGAAGGAAGGAAGGAAGGAAGGAAAGAAAGAAAAGAAGAAAAGAAAAGAAAAGAAAAGGAAAGGAAAGGAAAGGAAAGGAAAGGAAAGGAAAGGAAAGAAAAAAAA